ATTTTTCAGGCTTTGTCTCTTTCAAGACAGCCTTTGTGTCTTTGGACAAATCAGGTTCAATGAAGGCCTTTCTTGTATCTGACTGTTTATGTATTATGCCAGTCAGAATTTTTCCCGAATCACGTATACGTGTCAAGAGTTTTTCCAAATCAAAGTCACCATTCTCCTTGTAAATATTGGTAACCACTGAATCTAAGATTGACAGAGCTGTTCGTGCCATCTTTTGAATTTACATCATATGTTTATCTCTTACTATGGCAATGTCCTTCATGGTAGCCGCGATTTGCGGATTTAGTTTTGGGGCTTCTAGTTCCGATACACATGAATATTTACTCTTAAGAGACTCTAGATCTTCCTTCTTTACTCCTTGCTTACAGAAACATACCTTTCTCTTCAAAAGATCTGCATTAATATGCAGTTTTCCTGCCTGACTGGAAGTTGGGTCATCACCCAGCTAGAGAAAAAGACAAAACGAATTTTCTCTCTCAATCGAGATAGAAACGTAAATTGTATACGGTCACAAAAAACTCTTAGAGTTGTGACCCTAAACGTTTGTTTTAAAAACTCAATCAAACACAACGCTGTAACCATATCCCTGCCTTGCCATCTAGCAAGCACGGACAAGCTTTCTGCGTCTTTGTCTTACCACACAGTAAGCATTGATGTGTTACGCGTCTTTGTCTTGTCACCCAAGTAAGCACCGGCCGTTTTATATATATGCAACTTCTCGCTTTTGTTCCTTTCTCATAATTAATAGCTTAATTTCACTATACTGTTTATAATAAAACAGGAATTGTATCCAATACTCATTAGGCTCGTCTTCCTTGTTTTTTTCTGCCGTCATATCCAGTAAATTCTTCTGACACACTTGTGGATGATTCTGATGTAATCCTAGTGTGTTCTTCCAGATTCTCCTGATGGTTATTCGGCGCTTTATTTCCCGAATTATCTGGTAGAATCTTCAACTTCTCTTCTATTTTTTGCACTTTATTTAACAATCTCTATAATAGTTCATCTTTTTCACGAGATCTCTTGGATTTCTTTCCCATCTTGAATACACAAAGAACTTCACAAAACTAAAACACATGTGCTATAAGGCGCGCGCAAAAGAAAAGTGAAGGCTCCGCGCGAGGATTGGGAGAAGGGGTCACCTCTAGCATTGTTTCTATTTAACTCTAAATTCGCGTGTGCTGCCTTGCCGACTGAAGGCATACTACAGTTGTAATGTAAGAGAGCGAGGACGAAATATAATTTCTCGAGTGCTCCGCTTCCTTGTTCTGTCTTGCTACCTGGTGTCCAGTATCTCCCTGGGTTCCACGCTGGACTTCATCTAATTCTCGTGGGTGTATCAGTCGGGATCCAATCAACGTCGAGTTCCTAATTTCTTGCCCTTGCCTTGTCGCAAATCCTTCTAACCCGGATGCTATCACTGGCAGAGATCTCAAATTATAACCCTTCTAGTTTAAGGCCCTTTCGATCTAATTCTTCAGTTTCTTTCTCTTCGTTATTTCTCGTTTACGGAGGAACTACCCATTTGCAGGATTCTCAAGGAATCAGATTCTACTCTCTTGGTCTCTTGGTACTTTGCTTCCTCATCTAGTTTTTCTCTTTTATGAATTATTAATCTCAATTAAATCGTTATCTAATTATTTTCTCGATATTTAATTTCACAGAAACAAATCTCTTGGTGGATATTGACAATTAATAATTGTCAGTTATCGCTCATCATGGAGATTATTGTCTCCTTATCTTCTCTATTATCCAACCGACAATTATCTAAATCTTCATTTCATAAAACATTTCATAAATGAAATACACTACAAAAATTGTCAATCCTATTACAAATATTTGCTCCTTTCGATACTTCAAAATAACCATTTAATTTTGATCCCTTCAAATCTCTATTCACGTACATTCTCTTATCAATTCCCGCCAACTCTCTGTTTTACCGACCGTTGGCCTTTTTTGCCTTATTGGCCGTTTTTATTTATTGATTGTTCTAATTGTTAAATTATCTTATTGATCTGCGTTATCAACCCCTTTATTAATTTAATCCGGAATATTCCTGACTAGTCTCCCTCAGTATGATCGCACCTTGTGATACGGACGACAGGTGTCGCAATTTTCTCAAACTGATAATTGTCCAGAGGGAAAACGAGCATCAGCTCTTCTCCAAAATTTGAGAGAGAGAGTTACGACTCTAAGAGCAGTTTTCCCTCGTGATTACGACCTGCCACCGTTGCCCTTATCATCAACTCTGTAGCAATCCTTAACTTGGGAACAGCATGTTGATTGCGTTCGTCCTCTGTTGGTAACAGTGGAATCCCTAGTGGCTGTTCTACAATTCGCCACTATCTCTCTCTCTCTCCTCATGTTGTCTTTTTCCCACTCGAGCGATCTCCCCAGGTTTTCCTTTTACTTTTGTTTTTAGTGAAATAATAATTCTTTTTTTTTTCTATTTATTTATTACTGCTGACGATCCTATGAGGTTCCTTACAATAGGTATAAGTGCATGGAAGAATCAAAATAGGAGTCAAAATATTTATGAATTCTAGTTTTAATTCCCTCTGCACATAATAAAGAACTACAGGAATCGATTCTTTAATGAAATTCATTATTTGAATAATTTGACATAAAATTTTCCGACAAATTTTAACATAATTAATGAAATAAAAACAAACAATTATTTAGTTTTCCTTTTAACTCGAGAATTTTTAACTGACTTATTTTAATGAATTTAAAAATCTTTTTTTTTTTAACTTTTTAGAGACATTATAAATTTTTCAAGGGCATTGAACCGGGTATGTGCGTGTTATATCCCATTCCTCGTTCTTCCCTTCCTCTTGGTAAAAGGGTTAAATTAATTAAGGGGTTTATAAAACAAAAATTCAATAATCGTAATTGATTTTAAGGAAAAAGTAATGAGATTCGTGAAGAATTGATCCATGTAAAAATTTTCAACGATTGACTCCTATTATAGCAAATGGTTAATAATTATTATTTTTTTGTTTCATTCATTTTCAGCTTCACAATGGTTGGATTATTTGATTAGTTAATTTGTGGCTGATTTTCAAGGTTAAATTATTCAAAAAAATTTGATTTATTATAACATTCGAATCCAGAATGTTAGCAATCGTTCCGTTAGTCGAAATAAAATTCACAATTATTGAATTATTTGTTTAGATTTTGAATTTGTTGACATTTACGTAATTTTTAATCGCAATTGGTGGAAATTGAAGTTAATCAATAATTCCGAATTTGCTTTAATTTACAAATCGAAAGAATAGAGAAACGTGGTGATTTTCAAATCGCGACAGAATGAAAAATTTTCGATATTTACAAAAAATTTAATTTAATTTTCAAATCGCAAAAATAGAAAAATTTGTTTATCCTCAAATCGCCAAAATACCCGAATACCAATTGATTAAGTTTTCAATATAGAAAAATTTCTTTCCGCACATTTTTTTAATTGGCTTAATTTTCTGCAGCAATCGACAAATTCGGTTGATATTATCGAAGTTTGGTGACTCTTATAGAACAGGTCCTGCTGAAGTGAGAGTAGTTGAATAGTCGTTAATAGTTTTTATTTTTTTTTAATTAATCGAGAAAACAGATTGTTCACTCACGCTTTGCCATGATTAGGAATAAGATGAAAACTGAAGTAGACCATGTATACAATCTTACCACACCTCATGAGAAACATTAAATGCCAGTGCAGATTACAGGATCGATTTGACAGGTAATTTACATTAAATAATGAAACCGAATCGCATTAATAAATATGAATGCTTCACATGATTCACTATAAAAATTCCCCTTTGTCCTTAAGGTGTTACACTACCCTGACGCTTGGAAAAACAGGTCAAAAAATGAATTTGCTTTTTAACGCACATATAATATTTATACAACATATAATTATATAATTAGATAATATCTAATATTTATTTTTAAAAAAATTTTCCAGGGCAGTGTAACCCCTTAATTCTGATAATTAAAATTAATGTAAACGAACGTTGCTAATGATTTTGAGTAGGTGATATGAACTAAATGGTGTAGTCTAGCAATCACGAATAGGTGAGTATTACCGACTTTTCACTTGCATCTGCAAAACCGGTCTGTTCATACAACTGCATAACAAATGATACTCTATTGAAGTGAACTCCAATGAATATATACTTACTACAAGCGCATCAAAAGAAAGGACTCAATACAATTCATTAACAGCACCCTTGTTATTCTGTCAGTGTGGGAAGTACTTCCACCAGTCTTTTAATTGGCTGCTTTTTTTCTCCTTAAAATCGGCTATGCTGTCATACCTTGAAGAGTATTTTAAATAAGAACCGTTTGATTTATATTTCTGAATACACAAAGAGGAATCATCATTAATAATTAAAAAAATTCAGTTCAGGAAAAAAGTACCTAACAATTCAACATTCCGCAACAAGAATTATACACATATCTAAATTATTTTCAGCAGAGAGTAAATATATTTTACATAGAAAACTGCATAACTTTTATCAAGCAGTCGAGAAAACATATCCGGACATCTAGATAATATTTATCTTGTAGTTAGATCATTTTTCACGTAGGGCGTACATGAAGAAATTTTACGGAACGGTCCGGTAATTTTTCCCAAACTACCAGAAAGCTGCGCGGGCACTAAACGGAATGGCAATTTGTATCGAATTTTTCTCTCAATGTATAACGAAAAATTTTAATTGTGTCGCCGTTGAAACAATATTAATTCGCTGCGTAATTTCCATTGACTTTTCATCTCAGTGTAGGAAGTAACTGACGACCAGACCAGGAATTGTCAGAAACTTCACGGAATATGAACGTTGTGATAACTGCAACGAAAGCGCATTCATGGTCTATCGTTATTATTTTCGTCAAATTTTTATCAAATTGCTAATTTACCTGAAACTACAACTTTTAGATGAGACAAATATTACAGATGTTCGGCATTCATCTAGACATTTCTATTGTGTAGAAATCCCAGTTGAGGAATAAAATGGAGCACAGAGGGTCGGCATTCATAAATTCGTGTGTAAAAGTCCCAGTAGATCCATATAGTAGACAGCCTACACCATCTTATGAGCGCCCAACGATAAAACTCTCGAAACGTTCTGCCAACTACAAAAATCGTCGGATCAATTTTGTATCACCATCCGGACATGACGATCTAAATCGCACTGACCCTGGGAGTTCAGACGAGAGCAATGTGGATGGTTTCATTGATTTCATCGAAAGTATCCCTGATTATGGGCAGATTCACCATCTTTCAAATGAGCAATTTAGAGAAAAGTTGGATCTTTTAAAAAGGAAGCAGAGATTGCTGCTGAAGACCTTGAAAACCGATCTAGATGAAGATGATAAAATGGTCACAAACGATATCATTAAGGAAGTCGATCATAAAAAGAACTTGGATTCTTTCAGATTTGAAAAATTTAAATGCGAGAACTGGAAGGGTCGTAATAATAATGAGCTTCAGTTAATGGGAAGAAAGTGTCGTCTGGAGGAGTTAAGAATTGATAGTCCGGGCAACTTTCGATGTGGGAATTTTGCTGGATTGGCTGAAAATCAGGACTTACTGACTTACAGGTACTATCTCATTGATTCATTTGTGTGGTTAATTTGACATATGACAATTATTGTGAAAACGAGTATCTAAATTTTTAGTTTGTTGAAATTGAAAGAGTGAAATCAAATCAAGGAAAGAACGAATAGCCAAAAATCTTCGAAAAAACATACAAGTTCCCGAATTTGCTCTTGGTAATGCGAATTTTTGTTTTATTTTTACGTTCTAGATGCAAAACCGACGAAAAGTCGATGAAAACATTGAAAAATCGCGAGATATATTCAGCAAATACTAAAAGTTGGAGCACATGGAGTGACTCGAAAAGTTCTGAGAGTGATAAGGGTTATTCAGAGAATAGTATTGAAACTAGAAGTCTACCACCAAATAGTCCTAGGAAATGGGAATCTGGAAATTTGAAGTCTCCTATGCTTAACTTGCGGTTCGGTTCCTCAATTATGCCTACTAGACAAGTAACATAACATTAAAGTAACAACATACATACATATTACGGTGTATAACATTAAAAAAAGAATATCAGTTGCTAAATTATTTCTAAGTATCGCAATTTTGATCAATTCTAATCAATTTTATATTCATTATTATTGTTCTATCTTTATAAATTTCTTCTCTTTCAACATTACAACGGTGATTTTCAGAATTAACGCTGAGAACTATACACGTCACCATGTAGATCTTGCACCTTCAGATTCATTCGACGACTCCAAAAAAATCAACGAATTCTCAAGCAAACGTAGAATTCGCCAGATTCCTTTAGCATCGAGAATTCCTTTATACGATAAACTTCTGGTAGCTAAACAGGACCGAAGTAGAATTATTCGCGAACAATCCGCATTGAGTCTGATGTCACAGGTAAAGCCCTTTTACCTCGAATGTGACCGCCGAGCAATCAAGGCCCTAACCAGATCAACACCAGAATTGAGAACCAGACGAAATAAATCGCCACCTAAATTCAGAGCTAGACCTGTTCCAAATAATTTATTTGGAACGCGAGTATATGACCGAATGCTTGAGAACGAATACCTAAGGCAATTGCAGAAGAAGATCAGAGCTGCTGAGCTAATGAAAGTCTCCTCTTTACCTCCCTCGATGGCTCGGCGAGAGAGAATCAAATCAGGGTATATTCCGAAGACAAGAACGTGTGTGAATCAAGAGATTCAAAGAAGTGAGGAGAATTTCAGAACTTGCAGAATGACTCCATTAACATCTGAACGATCCCCATCAGCTTTGACTGATACCTCAGTAAGGGGAAATAACCTTGCAGCGATTCTACGCTGTCAGGCATCACGGTAATCAATACAATGACTTATCCATTGAATTCAGAGTATTCAGAGCAATTCAGACTATGATAGCAATCACGTGATTTTTAAGATAATCAAATTTGTAGCAGCCGAAAGTCTTATGTCTAGAATCCTTCTTCCTATTATATAAGCTATTAAATAGTTGTATTTAGAATACTTTAATTCCCCCACTCCACTTGCTGAAGGACATTTCACTGTAGATTCTCATTTATGTTCTTATATGTTCTCATTTATGGTCTTATTTTGTACTGGACTATCCATGATCTGAGTCAGAGATTTCCAAAAATTTCACAATCGTAATTTTTGTATATCGAAGCTATTACTGAATATTTGACAGTTGTGTAGTACTCATGATATTACTACAGGTAAATATGGCAATTTTCCACACATCTTCTGATACCGCTCAAGTTAAATCAATAGCTATTTTTTTTTTAATATTGAGGTTTGTAACTCGATCTAAAACCATAGGAGTTGAGAGTTATAGGAGTTGAACGGAAAGAATAGGAATTTTGCGGAAAAACGAAAGATTTACACCTCAACCCGAAATCCGCATTTGATTTTCTAACCCTTACCAGTTCAGTGATCAACTAATTTTCATTTCTAAATTTTATAAGTTTTTTCCAATTGGATTTTTTTTTATTAATAATTAAATTTCTATCGACTGACAGATTTAGGTTCAATGAATCCAAAACCAGCATCAACTGAATCATTGACCGATTAGTTTATAAAATATTAAGATTTGAAGTACAACCATTTGTATATACGTGCAAAGGAAATAAATGTAGCGGTTGAAATGTGTTAGGATGACGGAGAAAGACAAATAATTTTAATGATTTACGGCTACATGGACAAGATTGATCGAATGATTGAAAGCGCGTTGTAATGTTCTTTCTACGGTCACAGCGATATGATTTTTTAAACTCACAATAAGTTCGGTTCAGTTTTTATACCAAGACAAATTTAATATAATACAGGAAAAAGAGAAAGTTTGTGGGGCAAAATCCTACATAATGGCATGGAATCTCGGCATTGTCAACCTCGCGATTGATTAAGTGAAGTGACGACAATGGAGAGAATCATCAGGCAAATACTCAACGGGCCACTATGGCCTCAAAAACGTTTCAGGTCTAAATATCAAGAGGACCGAGCCTGGAATCCCACAATCATCTAAAAGAAGCCTCACAATCGCCTGACGGCATTTCTAAAAGGACCCTTTCTGTTCTTTATCGAATCGTGGATCAGTGGTTAAATCATCCCTCAACGGTAAGAGTAGAGGGGGCCGCCCCCAATGACAAAAAGTTGTCGACAGCCTAGAAATGTACCACTTCGGAAACGGATCACTCAATAACCACGAAAAAAGAGGCAGACCAATCAGGTGCATCGGCCTTGAGCGGGTTCACAACCTCATGGCAAACAAAAGTTATTAGATGGCTTTCAGGCATTAGCAAAATGAGCGAAATGATTCCTTAATGTGCAAGCAGGGGACATTTCCAGCCAGGTCTAGTGTATTTCAATAGTTCTCCAATAGTTCTCCATAACCAACAACCCAAGGAACTTATGGGTCATGAACGACTGAAAACGTGTAAATATACCACTTTTGACAGTAGAAGAACAATCTTGTTTGACAGGTTACTCTTACCTACTTATCGTACTATACTATCTTTGATTAAAATGATGATTACCGTAAGGAATCGTGTAAATATACCACTTTTGACAGTAGAAGAACAATCTTGTTTGACAGGTTACTCTTACCTACTTATCGTACTATACTATCTTTGATTAAAATGATGATTACCGTAAGGAGTAACTAAACGTTAAGTACAATCTGTCTCCTGTTACATTCCAGGATGCGGACGAAAAACGAAGACGAAGGGCGACCCCCAGGATGAAATTATTCCTCTTATTATTTTAACAAAGCGCGGAACGAATGTAGGGTGGGAACATTATGTGTGGAGCAAAGTGCTAAAGCACACCATAAGGGGTTACGAACAAAGTTGTAAATGGAGAAAAACTATTTTATGTCATTGCGGCCGGTAAAACGCGTTTCTAACCTTGCTTCGCTCAGATAAAAACGCGTTTTCAGCCACAATGACATAAAATAGCATCATAGCCACAGCGGAAAAAGTGATTCTGTCTCATGCGCGTTATAATCCTCGTCTTCGACTCGGACTATAAAGTCGCATTCGTCAGATTCCCTTTTTCCGCCCTAGGCGTGAAATATACTATATTCCAATTTGAAGTGATTTTTCGTACCAAAATTAAGGGTTACCGATTGTACCACTATACTATAAATTCTACTAACTCTACTACTCTATTCGGAAAAAAGGAAAAAAGTTGTGTAATATAAATGTTCGACTTATAGTGGTGTAAATACTAAATAGTAATAGTAAATAGTTGTGGAAATAGTATGCTAGGATCACTCAGTAGCATAGTTTTGGGGATGGTCGAGTCGTTGAGACAGTGTTGCGGTTACGGAGTGTTATAAACCTCTTTAGTCATGTTGCAAGGGGAACTCTTGCATTGCGCTGGGCAGTGAGTGCGGTAGGAGAAAAAGAGAGAGGAACTGTTTTCGTGGGTTCTGACTGGATAGGACTAAATACTAAGGTATACAACGAATGTTCATAAGTTATACAGAGAGAAACAACGCCCTAAAAATCCGTTTGAATTAGGTTTTATTCTTAAGGGCCGAAATACACTGGGAAATCGGAGGTAAAAACTGGGGGAGGGGTGAATGTTCTACTGAGAAGAGTAATGTTTTTAGTGTAGTGCGTGTTTATTCGACTTACGGTGACTGCTAGGGAACCAAATGGGGGGGAAACGGATATACTCACCCTGTAGGACCGATGTGGTAAATGGCTTCAAGTTCAGATGATCGCCGGTGAGTTGGTCTTCCCGGATGAGATTGCGACCGTGCAATCACTGATGATCGTCGTGAAAGCTGGATCCGTGTAGGGTTTATAGGTTGAGTCACAAACGATTGAACTTGCCGTTGTAGCGGCCAGACTAGTTGAGACCTAGCTGGACGGCTAGGAAGTAATTATGTCTCAGAGAGACACTTCTTAGACCGATGGTCTAAGCACAGCGAACGAGTCTGATACAAGTATTTCTTAACCCTGTAAAGGGGAGAAACAACTAGAGAGCTCACCTAGCTGTCGCCTCGGTCCGGTGGCGGAGAGGTACATCTAGAGAGCGAGACGGTGGAGTCCTCGATCCTACGGAGGAGAGGTATGACTAGAGAGCGGCCTCGTGGTCTCTTCAGATCTCGAAAAGGAGAGGATAGAGGTAGCAGCCATGAGAGCTTGACTAGATGTTTAGCTGTCAATCCCAAGAGAGGAGTGAGCATTCTACTCAGCGCGGATGGTGAGAGAGATTAAGCGGAGCGCTGTGTCTCGAGTGTCTGTTGTGTGGGCCCTTATATAGCCCAAAACGGTAGAGTGGGGGAAGTACGTCATATAACATCGTGCCGAGCATTCCCAACTAAGTTACGGGAGCCTCAACGTACGGGGGATGCGTACGGAACGTGTAGGTAACGTAGCGACCGCTACACCGGCAGAAAGTTGGAATGATAAGGTGGTACAGAGGCCGACGGGTTGAGCTGGTAGACAGGACTTGGCCTGAGGCGCAGGAAGCCGGAATGGAAGAACTAGTATACAAACTGAACTGGCTGAATCGGTACACTACTAGTGAGAGTTGAAGTGACACTGGAATGACTCCCAAGGTAGAATGGAATATAATTGTAGTGGCCTAATCTGGAATGGCTATTTTGGGTGATTCTACGGCTTTCATATAAGATTGGAAACCAAAAGAGGAAGGAATTAACCATTGAGAAGAACGACATTTTGATCATAAATAATTTCATCTAATGCACATGAAGCATCGAAACCGAATAAAATTTTTGAGAGGTATAGATTAACTTGTTTTGTATTCTTGAAATGAGACAGCGTTCGATTTTCCATCTGTCGTGGCTGTTGCACGGGGTAGCCAGCTACAGCTAGATGATTTCGATTGTTACTCCTTCATTTTATTACTTCTTAATTTGATGTTTGTATTCATGACAAGTGGGAAAGCAAGGGGTCCCTCCAACTTGATTGGATCATCACTCGTCTCACTCTGGTTGCGTAACCTGTCACAGATACTTGGGGACCCTCTCCTTTCGTCATTCGATCACTAGTTCCCCTCACTTTACGTTATTTTCTCTTCCTCTTCCTACAGCGACGCTGGTTATCTCTCTTTCTCTCTCTTACTGTCGTGTGTTTTGTTCCCCCTGCAGACATTAAGTTGGCCATTGATGACCAAAGATTGCCTCGTTTCACTTCTCATCGAGACCACTTTTCCCTTAGATTGATTTTCACAATTTTTTAATTGCTATAAGCGGCTATTTGCGATATGTTAGCCTGCTGGGTCTTTTAGATTTTAAGTTTTTATAAAATTAAAAATCTTGCGTCTCTTTCCCCGAGACATCGATTTTCACTGCGATATCGGCAACAAGAGTTCGACAGGTGGATGTGCCAATAGGCGGGTTGAATAGAGGTGCACAATGTTTTTCCTAAAAACTCGTTAATATTAATCCTTAATATGAGACAAAATTCGGATGAGAGAGTCAGAATTATTCTATACGCTTTTCTCGATTTGTTGTTCTAAAGTCAGTTTCAACCCAGAGATTTTCAGAAGGAAAGAAAAGACTTGGGAAATAAGTACGAATTAACAAAATGGAAAGCGGCGACAGTAGCCACGCGGGTGGTGTGTGACTTCGGCGGTCACCCAAGCTAAGCAACGCTCAGTTGGGTTAGTACTTGGATGGGTGCCCGCTTAGTCACACCCCTCGGCGTGTAGACTGCCGACGTCAGGCACGTATGCGGAGAGCTGGTGTGTTCACCGAGTCAGTGTGACTGATGAACACAGCAGAATCCCCGCATTACCGGCCGGCTGCGCTACTGAGGTTTTACATGGTTTCCCTCAGTACAAGCCAAATGGGCGCAGAAAAAATG